CTGAGTAAAGTGTATCAACTCCAAAAATAGTACGGACTCCAAAAAATCTCTATATTACACCACAAAGAAAAAAAAAAGATTCTTGTCTGGGATTTCTGAATAAGGGAGGAGGCCCCCCCCTTTTTTTTTCAAGATGGTAGATTTTCCAAGATAGATTGTTCCCATTGTCTTGACTTTTTACTGATACTTTAATCTCAAAATGATCCGCAAAGCCTTAAAACAGATTCTTGCATACATAGCTTTAATTTTGCTGAAAGGCCCTTTCAATGGAGAAACCTTGCGCATGCTACCAATGCCCGTGATGGATGATCTGAACAATAGCTAGCACAATGTGTTGGCCATTGAAGGGGGCCTTCGTGATAGAATTGACTGCGCGCCCAGATTGGTCTACATGTACATGTACATGTAGGTTTGAATTATGCTTTAGCTTTAAATCTTCAACGCTTGCACTATGGAACTTTTCTAAGTTGTGTTACGAATGTTGTGTACATTGTATGTACCCACGTGCTCAAAATGAGGATATATCCTGTATTTTATTCCTCATTGGTTCCTGGTCCAATTCTTTCATTGTTGTTAAATGGATTCATGAATCGTACATGTACATATTTCATCCATGGATAAGAGCTAACGTTTGATAAGTAGGGCGAGCGGGGGAATTTCTCAGCCTACCAGCAAAAACATTAAATAAATATGTACGGTAATTATCTGTCAACCACACAAACTATATTTGAAATATGAATTAGTTTCAAATGAATTCTTTTTAGTGGGCAATTTATTACTACTTTTAGGTCAAGGAACTTACGCATATCATTTTCTGTGCAGTTTCAAAAGATCCGGATAAAATTTACTGCATATGGTTTAACACTTATACAGGGTGGTGCATTAGAAGGAAACCAACTTTTTTTTAAAAAGTCATTAAAATTTGATCTTTTAAACATACATATAAGTGACGGAAAAAATGCTTGCAAATGCATATTTTGTCTCTGAGATATGGTAGTTTAAAAAGTTCATGTGCAAATCCTGTTTGTCAACGGACAGCTTTATTCTAACCGCTTGACTGAGCTCCGGAGCTTGATTTGAAGGCAAAAAACACTACACGAGACTTACACGTGGCATGTGGACAACAGTAATTTTGGTGACTTGTTTTCAAATTAGAATAATAACACTACTCTTGCGATTTTGTTTAAAGATTTTTTCACCACGTATGGTTGAAGAGCTATACTTCATAAAATTATCAAATAAAACAGTTCAAATAAGTTAAGTAGCTAAAAATTCCTGTCAAAAGTGGGTTTCCTTCTTTTTTGCACCACGCTGTATACATGTACATGTACATGTGAGCACACTAAAGTCTACATGTACTTATGCAAATTGTAATCTTGGACAATACAGTACACGCGCATTCTCTCAGTCGTCGCAATAATTCAAAGTTTTTGTCATGGTTCGCAGTCACCTTACACAACAAGCCACCGTGACCAGATTCACTGTAGCGAACACGGAGACTGCCGCAAAAAAAATCCCCACTTCCATGTCTTCTGAAGTCAAAGGGGCTCAGTGACGGCAAAAAGCTAACAAGGGGCCTTGAGCTTGAAGGAGAGATACTCATTAGGAGAGACAGCCGAGCGCTCGGGCGTGGTAGATTAAGGGGAGGAAAAGCACTGGAGTGCAAAGAGGCAAAGGAGCGAGTCTGCGTCAAAACTTCACACTCGGGTGACGGTTGTGATCATCTTTGAAATCCAGATTTGAAATCCGAGGAACTGATACACGTGTAGTGTATACATGTACATGTACATGTTCATAAGGTGAAGATGGTTTAGGATTGACATGTAGGTCTGGGAAGGGCCAGGGAAAGCATATTGTGGGGCAGATAGGGGAAATATTTGGGGGAATTGTGCCTTTGACGATACAAGCATGGCATTTGGCACACAGTCAGAGTATAAGAAAGATATTTGGCTATAGGGCCATCGCAGATTTGTTCTCTGAAAAAAATATAGGTAGGATAAGGCCCCCCCAAAAAAATATTCGGTCTCTGGTCAGACCAAAGTTCCGGAATTGACGCGGCGACGCGGCTTTGTTTTTTTTTTTTTTCTGTTTTTTTTTTTCTTCAAGCTTTGATTGTACAGACAAGGTGGGGTACTATTTTGCTTTTTTGGTGTCCTCATGTACATTGGTGTCCTTCATAATTTGCCTTGGTGCTCTCGATCATTTGCCGTGGTGCAATTTCCCATTCCTTGGTGCTCTTTGCTCTTTGGTAAAAAAAATTGAGGAGGTGCGGCAATAGAGGGCGCTGTTGTAGCTTCCGTGTTAATTTGAAGAAGAAAAAAAGGTTGACGCGCATGATAAAAATCGACGCGCGCGCTAACTAGAGACCGAGGTATTTTTTTTTGGGCCTAACAAGCAATTTTCTAAATTTTCAAAATGGCTGCCATTGCTTGTTATTCTACCTATATTTTTTTCAAAGGACAAATCTGCGATGGCCCTATAGCCAAATATCTTTCTCATGACATACTCTGACTGTGTGCCAAATGCCATGATTGCATCATCAAAGGCACAATCCCATCACCTATCTGCCGTACTAATATGGTTAGGGAAAGGTCCAATGATGCATCGACTAATTAGAGAAGTAATTTTTTTTTATTAGGAGACCTGGAAATAAGTTGAGGGAAATGAAACGGGTTTTGTATGCAGGTCAACCTGTAAGCACCGTGTAATAAATGGTCCAGGGAATAGTAAATTTGAAGAGAATAAGGTTTTATTAAATATTATAATTGCTTTATTTAAAAAAAAAGAGAAAAACAGTGTTTGCAAATGGTTATAACTTGTTGAAAATGAAGGAAAATTGAATAAGATTTTTTTGTACTGCTTTAGCAACTGACTTGTTCACACAAAAGGGGAATATTTATTCAATTGTATTCATTCAAATGTTTATATTATTTGTTTCTATTACAGGAAAATGGTTTAAATAGCAGATGTTTTGACAGTGTCGAGAGAGAAAGGAAAACTGTATTATCCTAATTTTTATTTATGTAAAATGTTAATGTTGTTCCACAAAAGGGATATCTATAAAACAGACGATGTGCCAATGTTTATATTGGCCGAACATTAAGGAAATTGCTGAGTGAGAATCAACATTGATACACGTCCGTCGGGAAGACAAAGGCGACGCGAGTGTTGTCATTTGTTGGACGTCTCTTCCTTTTTCCGTAAATTGATAGAACTGATATTTTCCCCAAAGTTATTTCTTCAGGACCATTCATAACAGTGCAACCCGGATCATGTTAAAAATGTTTCCTGGTTTACCGGTACATTGGGGGTCATCTTGGGGGTCATCTAGCTTTTAAAGGAAACTTGGAAAAGTCTTGGAAAGGATGTTGCATCCCGACGCCACTTTGTTTCATCATACATGTACATGTATATTATTTATTTCAATGAAGGTCAATCCTTGCAAATGTTTTGGAAAGACATGAATCTGGGACTGAGAAACATTTCCAATGTTGTCAGGAAATACTTTGAAAATGTTCTTGACTCTCCATAGACTTTGTACACAACCGCTGAAGTGGCGTCTGGATACTTCATTCTTTCCACAGTCTTTCATGAGCACTACGTGAACATTTCTTGAAACTTTTGTGTTCAAGAAAAAAAGGTGTTCTGACCATTGATATCTTTTGTATCTGAAATTAGCCCACAGTGGCCAACTTAAGATGTACATGTAAATTAGTGGCCACTAGTCCATAATGGCCAACTGGATTTAGTGGCCACCAGCCCATAATGGCCAACCGAAACTAGTGGTCACCAGTCCACATTGGCCAACGGAATTTAGTGGCCACAAGTGCACATTGGCCAACTGAAGTTAGTGGTCACCAGCCCACATTGGCCAACTGAATTTGGTGGCCACCAGTCCACATTGGTCAACTGAAATTAGTGGCCACCAGCCCACATTGGTCAATTGAAATGTGTGGCCACCAGCCCACATTGGCCAACTGAAATTAGTGGCTACCAGCCCACATTGGCTAATTGAAATTAGTGGCCAACATCCCCCAGTGGCTAATTGAAATAAGTGGCCACCAGCTCACAGTGGCCAACTGAATTCAGAGGCCACAAGTCCACATTCGCCAACTGAAATTAATGACCACCATCCCACAGTGGCCAACTGAAATTAGTGCTCACCAGCCCACAATGGCCAATTCAAATTATCGGCCAAAATCCCAGTGGCCAATTGAAATAAGTGGCCAGCAGCTCATAGTGGCCAATTTAAATAAATGGCCACCAACTCACAGAGGCCACCTGTAAATGAGTGGTCACCTGCCTACAACGGCCAAATGGCAAATGAAGTTTTAACTCTTGATCTTAACACAAACATTTCAGATACGGAAAATTGGGTTGAAAACAGTCTAATAGTAATACTGTACTTCACTAGAGGCTCTCAATTAGCTTATTACCGTACAGTATGCCCCCACCATGTAGCAGAGGTGAACGGTTCAAACATTTAGGAGAGGCAATTCGATAATAAGAAAGTTTGACATTATTTCTATGAGCCAATAAATGAAATGCCTGCAGTTTGTTATATGTTCCCCCATAAGGACACCTCATTAGAAGGAGTGCTGTGGAAAGAAAAACAAAAACTTGACAAAAACGACGACAACAACAAAATTGTTAGCATGTGATATTAAAAATCATTATGACATGGGCAAACAGAACAAAATGTGGGGTTTTTTGTTGTTGTTGAGAACACACATGAAATCTTTGCATGCCAGTGGTAATAAATACAGCAACTATGGATAATACGGCCATGGAACATGAAACAAGCAAAAATTATAAATATCAGTCACATCGGATGAGTTTCATTTACAAGTAGAGCAATTTTGGCAAGGCGAAAAAGGGGTTGGTGGGAGGGAGGGGCAGGGAGGGTCTACATAGCAAATGAGACCCTAATATACAGACAGGGTCTATAAGAGTTGGAGGGGCCGGGGTGGGGTGGAAAAAAGAGGAAAATCCCAGATTACCTTTTTGGCATCGTTAATAGGTGAATCGCCTCCGCCGAAGTTGGAGGCGACAAGGGGATTAGTGGCTGTGCCGTTGGCTGTGAACAACTCGTCAGAGCCCCGCTGATGGTGGACGAAGGAATGAACGAGCGAGTGTGTAACGAACGAGCGTACGCACGTACAGACCAAGGTGAAGAAGGAACCGAGAAGAGAAATCAAAAAAGAAACAAAAAGTGGAGAGAAAAAAAAAATGCGGCAAGTCAGAAAAAAGGGAAGTACAGATGGTGATAAGAAGATGGTTAAAAACGGACATGCAAATGGACCTCTCCCAAACATTAATTTATTCGGGTTTTTTGGGGGGTTCAAAGCAACACAGGTGAAACATGGCAACATGTTAATCGGTAAACAAAATCTCATTCCCGTTATAATTTTGGAAAAGCCTGTATTAATTAAATGTACACCATATAATAAATATACTTACTTTCAAAAAGTACAATATAAAAACCTGTGCATTCATGTTTCCAGAAAGAAAATGCCATAAACCTTTTTTCTTGCTGAACTGTTTTTCTTGTTATAAATTATGTAAATTAACAATTTTTTTTAAAAGCACTTGCATGACTCTCAATTCATTGGACCGGTATGTAAATGGCACTGATCATCACTGTCGGCACATTTAAATCAATCCAAAAGGGCTCCACAAATGCGCAAAAATAGTACAAATGTAGTACAAATTACTGACATTTCAAAGAATGTCGACCAAAAATTCAGAGTAGATGCATGATTTTTGTTGGGTGCTATATTTATTTTTTTGTTTTTTGTATTTCTTTTCCTCTCTATTTGGTTAACATTTGGGAAAGGTCCATTTTAAATGTAAGAATATTATAAGCAAAAGAAAACAGTTGGATAATAGTTTGAATTCAGGGTACCATAACCAATTCTAATGAAAAAAAAGTATATAAATACAACCTACAAGTAAGAACCAACTGTGTATCAAACTACATGTACTGTAATAATGCAAACATTCTTTTAAAAAAAAATTAAAAAGAGGGCATAATAAATGATTATTTCTAACAAGATGTTACAAGTATTATCATTCTCCCACACAAGCACCCCTCTAGAAGCAATGAAATGTCCCAGCCAAAGCATGATTTCCTATGGGAGGGGGAAGCGAAAATGTGCAACCAGCAGGGGTGTGTGAGTATTAAACACAAACAGATGTACACGCACACACGTATTTAATGTAATAGTAAAAAAAAAAAAAGGCAAGGGAGATTTTACAGTGATGAACAGAATTGACCATTCGTAATTGATTCAGACAAACAAAACATGCAAAGTAAAAAAGCAGCCTCTATAAATCGTGCAATGAGTGATGTTATTCAGACAGATAGTTGGGTGGAAAATACATGTACTGTACATAGGGGGCTTACATGTACTTTCATCGTTAACTTTAAAACACCTTTTCCCTCAAAAAAAAAAGTTTTAAGAACCACTTCTTCTTTAACCACGGTTTATAGTAGAGTAGACAATATTCAGGCATGTTTTAGAAACATCTCGAGTCTACTCATTAACTTTTTTGGGACAAAATGATAGTAACAAAGCCACACGTACAATGTGCTGCACATGTACATGTACATGTATGCACTGTTTACTACACGATAGGCAAGTGGTTTTAAATACAATGTCTCTTAAATTTATAACTACATGTATTATATTATACACTGTGTAAATTATATACACCATACTTGTACATGTATGTACACCTACAAGATAAGCAACAACTGGAGGACTCAGCAATGTAAAAAAAAATGATTGGCCAAATTGATTTAGAGACTGTATTCCACTTTGAGGCGGAGTGTGGCCAAGTGGTTAGGATTCGTGGCTGATTATCAGAGGGTCAGGGGTTTGAATCCAGCTGCTGGCCTTATGCTGTGTCCTTGGGCAAGCCACTTCACCGCTGTCTCTCCCCAGCCAAGAGAACACTTTAATGGTACCAGCAGTCAGTCAGGGCCCAATTTCATAGCGCTGCTTAACAGCCGACTTTGTGCTTACCAAGCCATCATCTATTTCATAGGGACCGTTAAGCAGTAAGCACATCAAAAACACGCTTAACCCCTGAAGAAAAATTTGCTTAAATCAGTGACGTAACAATAGAAATCTCCATACGTGCACAACTGTTAGCATGAAATAGTGCTTAAGCAGCAGCATGATTGTCTGCTATAGTAAGCACAACTTTTCTGCTTACTGCTAAGCAGTGCTATGAAATTGGGCCCAGGTACGCACTCTACATGTATCGGGTCGATGTGTAATGGGCAATGGGCAGAAGCTCATGGGGAAAAACAGATACATTTATAACAACGGAATCGACAACAAATGCCAATACAGCATCAGATGGTGAGCAACGAATGGGGATAATTAATAACAACTTGTTATTGAGCGGTTGCAGGCACTGTTCCAAAGTGAAAACATTGGCCTACCGGGTATGGTGAAAAAAAAATGTAACCAACAAAGTGGGTTCCAAAATAAATTTAAGTGAGCATTCATTTCAGCAAAAGAATTGTACATAAAAAATTGGACAAGATGTTCATACACATGCACACAGACATACATGTATGCAATAGTTGAATGTTTGAGTTTGTTTCTGCATTCAATAGGGGTGCATTAAACAATAGAGGACAATAGGGTTCCGAATTCCCAAGATGTCCCCAATTTGGATTTGTGTACAAAACATATGGGAGGTCTTCCTAAAAAGTTTTAAGTACAAAAGAGGGACAATAGGGGGTCCCCGATTGCAGACAAATATACACTTGTATGGCTGTGTTCATTATACATACATGTACATGTACTAGTTTGTCCATACATGTAGCTAAGCTTTAGCTCTCCTCAATCCTGCAAAATCCTCCAAAATGCAAACAGGATTTCGAAGGTTCTGGGGGTTTATTGCTGTGATAAGATGTACGTAATGTAACACAAGACATGTACAGTGTATAGACGATGATGACTACCTGCATTGTGTCATTTGCGCATAACTGATGAGCAGATGTAGTGATTTCATTAGACCGTAATGTCAACAACCACAGAGGTTGGTTGCAACTTGCAAGCATGTTGGGCAACTTGTCAAACATGAGGTTTTGTCACGAAATCGTCGACGGCACACGTTTGGACTGTTTTGCGACAACCGAACCTGGCAGCCGTCCGGGGCAACAGATGCAGCGCAGTGTGGCGCTCTGGTTATACTGCCAGCTGATTCAATAGAGACAACGAGTTCTATTACGCCTACCAGGACGTAATTCAATTGTGTAAATGGCCTGCCCGGCGAGCCGGAGTCAAGTTTGCTCTTTACGGTGATACTGCATAGCTTTCCTTGGTCTATGCTTGGATATTGTACCAATTATGTACAAATACGGGTACTGTACTGAACACACAGTGTTACAGTGTCTTCCCAGGGTTTTGGGAGGTAGTTCTGGTAATTTTATGCCACCACACTTACGTTTTGCCACCCTGCTGATAGTTTCACTGTCTTGATGCTGATTATTTTTAAAAGATTTTTATTCAACACCACTATTATGCAACACTTTATAGTTAACATCAAACTAGGCCTTTTCGCACTACAGACCTTTATCATGCTTCCACCATTGTAGTCATGTTCCCTGTATCTAATAACAGTACTGAATGATAATGTTTTTGTGCAAAAAGGAACCAGACTATTTTTCCTTCCAGCCTCTCTTTGGTTACATTGATCTGAATGTGAACAAATCAAATGGCTGCAACATGATAATGGTCTATGATAATGGTCTATTGTTTCACCTACACATGTTGAAGTCGACATGAGTACGTCGTGAGTAGAACTGGGTCCCAACACACTCGGGCAGGTACCGGTACGGTAAGGCATACCGTTAACACTTTTACCACTTTGTTCATGAGTCGGAAGTACATTTCTATCTGGGTATACAGCATCTCCACCTGGTCCTGGCCAGGGTTGAATTTTACCCATGGAGAGAGCTAGACCCGTGTAGAAACCGTGTTGGATTATTGCTAGTGTGAAAGGGATTCCTGAAATCTCCACGTTGGAACCAGGGTCCACCACAAGAGGTTTTGGATCGTGTGAAAGGCCCTTATGTAGATTCATAATACATGTACATACAATACATTATGTGAAACATTATGACAAAGGACAAGTACCGGTACATGCCACCGGTACATACCGGTACATATGTTCCGGTACCTGGCATGTGTACCCTTGAGTACAGTGAAATCTCGATAAATCGAAACCTGCCAACTCGAAAACCGTTCTAACTCAAAGTACATGTAAGAACTTATTCCCGTCAATTGTTGTTGCAAAGGAAATCCATTTGCTAACTCAAAACTCTGCTTAACTCAAAACTCTGATTAACTCAAAATTTGAGCCCATTGCCCTGAGGTTTGACTTATCGAGATTTCACTGTACATATGGATCAGTCATGGAGTTTGAAAGATTCAAGAAGCTCACTTGTAAAAATGCCAAGGCAGTTAAGGTTGAATCAAACGTTCTCAAAAACAGAAACAAGTTTTCTTATTCCTCCCAATCTTTCACAAAGATGCTACACTTAAGGATTTGTTATAATACTACAATCAGCTAGGCTACAGTTACAGGACAGCGCATAAATCAAATCCCTTTCAGTTCACACAGGCCTAGTATAATCCTGCTCGCACAATCAAGACTAAATACAAGTATGAAGGACATACACAAGTGTATTCAACTCAAGCCTCACCCAAATCCCTTTGGTAAAATCCCTACATTCTTCCCGCCAAAATCTCCCAAGAAAAAAAAGAAAGAAAACAAATCCCATCCCCCTCTTCAAATTGCCTTTGAAAGGGTCTCCTTGAGTTATGGCAACGCTCCATATATTTGCGGATCCCTATAGCTACCGTAGGGACGTACCTCAGACTGGAGAGCTGGGCAAACATTTAAGCCACCACTCTCGGGCCCGACCGGTTGAAAAGACTCCGAGGGATTTTTAATTTGATTTGGATAACTCCGGGGGAAACACACCGCAACGTCTCTCAAGTCGCTGATTAGAGGCAGAGTGATGTTCGGTTCGGGAAGACCTTCACATCCGGAGATTTTCAAGCACGGATTTCAGGGG